TTAATAATACAATTTAAGTTAAAACAGATTTAAGTAAACCTTAATATTATCATCATATGTGAACGCGTATGTAAGTAAGTTTATATGCCTTTATAACAACCAATCACCGATAAAATCACATAAAATATTTCGTTTTAATTATTTTCACAATTAATTTTAATTTTATAATAATAATAATAATAATAATAATAATAATAATAAAAAATAAATAAAAAAGAAAAAAATATATACGGAACTTTTTGTCATTACATTCTCTTATGGTTGAATGGTATGAGCAATACATTGCGACCATTTGTGTATCTATATACAAATATATATACATGTATATACACGTATATATATATATATATATTGTGTTTTATATATGGTAATGTGTTTGTGAAAACCAATACACGTTATCAGTTGGTCTCGTTGGTGTTATTGGTTGATTGTGTGCTCGACTGGGACATTGACCTACTGTTCTCATTTTAATTGTAAGCCACAGTTTTCAACATCACCACCATCATCATCAGCATCATTATCATCATCGTCATCATCGCTATCATCATCACTATCATCATCGCCATCACCATCAACAGCAACTACATCGTCATCGTCTCAATATAACAACAGTGCAATGCATTCGCTTTCGCAAAAAAGAAAAAATATATATACAAATACAACATTTCTGCATTTGTGCCAAAATGAAATGTACATCTAAATGTATATATATATGTATATATATATATATATATGTGCATACATAGATGTTCGGAAAAAAATATTTAAAGTTTTTATATATTTTTTTTTTTTTTGTGTGTTTCATTCCTGTTGAAAGTAAGACAGACAAATTGCTGTTCAGAGAATGGTTTGGCCGGTTGGTTGATTGTTTGATATGTAAGCACACATGTGTGATTTCATTACTTACTTTGTTACATGTGTATGTACATGCAGTCAAGTGAATTAAAAACAGATTCCAACAGACAAAAAGAAAATATATATACGTATATACGAAATGTATAAAGTGAAACGAAACGAATAAAAATCTTTACATTACAACCGGAAAATAGATGAAGTGAAACTCAGTATAGCCTACTTTTCTGCTTAAAATTATAGCAATTGTTAAAATTTTTTTTTTGTTATATATTTTTCCCATATATATATTTTCATTTCATATGCATACCTATATTGCATATCTACATTACATACATAATTTGCATATATATATATATTTACAAAACCTAAATACAAAAGTTAAAATGGGTTAAGACGCTAGTTATGTACGTCCCATATTGCATCTAACGCCCTGCAAGGAGATTATATAAATTTCACCTTTTTTTTTATTTTATTTGCGGCATTTGCAAGAATGTGTTTCCGTCTGTCCGGCATAGA